AAGGGGGGAGCCGGGGCCGGAGCCATCGCCGCCGCCATCAACATCAACGCCTCGACCTCCAAGTTCCGTGAGTGACCGCCCTGCCCTCCGCCCCGGGGGGGTCCGCGGGGCAGCCCCCACCACCTCTGCTTCTGCGGCGGGTCCCTTGCCCCGGGGGTCCAGGCCCGAGAGGCCTCTGGTTGTCCCCCGCGGGGTTCGGGCCCGAGAGGCCTCTGGAAGCGAAGTCAGCTGGGTTAAGGCGCCTTGGGAAGGAGAAAAATGACGTTTTTCTTGCAGGCACCGCAATTTCTGCCGCTGCCACTTTCCTGTGACGGCGCAGTGATGTGCTGGGTCTGGCTGTAGAGCTGGGAGAGTGAGCGAGGGCAGGGGTTTCGGCTGTGCAGAGGCACCGACTACTGCTCGCCCTGAAGCTTTGTGCCCAGGTTGCGCTCTTTCCGCCTGAGAATCCCAGAGATGGGTCGGAAACCTGTCTGTGGTTTGCAGAGCCCCTGGGAGGGCTGTGCTCCCCTGGAAGGGACGTGTGTCTGTGGGGGCCTGAGGAGAACAACCGAAGGTGATTTCAGCCTCCCAGAAAAGAGTTCCAAAACATCCTTTGCGTGTAGCTTGGAGCAGAAATGGTGAATTTTTCTGTTGTGTCGCTGAGCTGAGTTTGAGGGGAGGAAAGACCTTTCTGCTGTTCTCTTTGGACTCTACTTTTATTCCCAGAGGTCAGGCTTCTGGGCAAAACATGCCGTTTTCTGCAGGAAAACTTGGATTTGGCTAGTTAAAAGTATTCCTGGAAATCTAACCATGCAACTGCCATGATGAAATTTTGGTGGCAAATGTGCTTTTTTCCTTTGTTCCGCCCCCACTTCCCCAGCGCTAGCTCACCTGTCGAGCTCCTCAGCAGCTCGGCTCCAGAGCGGATCAGAAGCTCGAAGTTCAGGCTCCTGTCTCCCTGCTTCTCTGGTAGCCTGGGTTTCACAGCTCTAGACACATTGCCAAGGCCAGCAGCTTTGAAGTTGAGGCTCCCAGACTCCGTGAACTTTCTGGCTCCCTGCCTGCCTCGTTTACCAGGGCTCCAGGTAGCTTGGGGTTGCTCGTAAGCACTTGAGTCTGTTGAAACGAAATGTGATTTGGCCTTGTTAAACTAAGCACTTGAATCCCCAATCCAGAAACCTGGAGTCGTAGTTTTTCCTTCTGTTTCAGAATGACAGTGTTTTTCAAGCTGGATCTTCACCAAACGGGAAGGTGACTTTCCAGTTAATCTGCAGTTCGTGTCTGAGGGGACGAAGAAGTGGCTGTGCATGATTCTGCTTAGAGTGTGGCTTTTGAGTTCTTGTTTTCACTTCTCCAGTGTTGGTATCCCAACACAATATCTGTCTTACTGCTATTAACTGTTGTTTTAAAGAAGACTAAAATTCCCGTAAAATACAAAATTCTCTGATTTAAGTTCATTAGACCTTTTCTGCATCTTTGTATTGTGGATAATTTTCATGGTATGCATATGTATGAACAGAACAAGTCCAGTGAAGCAGTATGGACTGAGAAAGTACATCAGCTGAGTTGAGATCCTGCCTGTTCTAATTCTCGCTCTGGCAGAGAATCCCTGAATCTCCCCTGTTTAATTTTCATGTATAGAAAAAGGGAGAAAGGTCACTTTCAGTGTAAGGGTGCAGTGAAAAGGGAGACAGCGTGTGCTCGATCTCCTCCTGCCCGCTCTGTCTTAGCGATGGCAGAGCAAGTGCAGAGAAGCTGATTGTCAGTCTTAAGCTTGATAGGAATGTCGTCTGTTCTCTGCTGCATGAGGAACTTCTGCAGTTGACTAAGCAAGGACTCATGCCTTGCTTGTTTCATGATGCAGAGGCTTAGTCCTAGACAGGTTATCCTACAGGTGACCTTCAAAAATGTGGGTGACGTGCGATTTCCAACAATCCTATGAAATTCTGAGAGGTCTCTCCCTCCTGATGCTATTCTCCACAACAAAAAATCCAGTGCTTGTGTTACAATATGTAATTACTTGCAGCGTGTTGGTTTTGTTCGTGTTCATAGTTGCAGACTGAAGCTGTCTGGTGGGCCTTTTTTGGTCTAATTCAGTTGGCAGAATAATGGAGGAAGAAGGTTGGATGGAAACCCTTTAAAGTCTTTCTAACGGGCCAAATCCAGTTCTCCTCCCTTGAGATTTTGGTGAGACTGAGAACTAAAATCAGACGTAATAATGCATAGTTCATTTATTAGCTTTTTAAAGAAAGTTTTGGTAAACTTATTACTCAGCATTTACAGTTGATCAGCTTCAGTCATAGTTATGGATTTATAAAGCAAGAGTGTTATGAAAAATATTTTTCATAGGCCATATGGGTGAAAATTAGACTAAGAGCGTCTAATACTTTCAGCAAAACTCTTCCGTACTAGTAACTGCAGCATGTCTGAATTGTGAAGAAAACGAAGAGTTTTTTTCATCCTTTTTGAGGAAGGATGGTTATAAATGCATTTAACCCCGGTCCCATTTAGGATGGGCACGTGTGGCTGCGGCCGTTGGCACAGCCGTTAGATCTGTTGACTGCCCTGTTGCGTGAGGTGGTTCGGCGCGGTGTGTGTGCTTTGCTGCGTAGGCAAACCGTCTGATGAAGCAGCTTAACGTTACTTTTACTAACCAGTCAACGCAGGCTGAGAAACGTAATACAAATAGAACAGAATTGAAAGCAGCCACAGGGCAGGCTCATAAACTTGCTAATGTATGCTAGGATGTGTCGGGGGGGGGGGGCAGCGAAAGTCCTGTAAGCATGCACGTGACGGCTGAGGAAGAGGACAGCGTAGCGCCACAGCGATAGCTACAAGTCTCTAGATTAATTAGCCTCAGACATCTGCTCGAAGAGTTTGTACACTTCAACAAAATATTTTGGAATTGTAGGGTGCATGGCTAATTAAGCAGTAAAGCTTTGTATATGTCACTTTGCGATGAAATAAAGCTTCTGAAAGATGCCTGGCTGCTTTCTTTGATTTGTGTTGTCAGAATAAATGACAGATAATTGTCAGACCGGTATCTGCTTAGTTGACAGTAGGTAGGATTACCTGCCCTGCTCCGTTCTGTGCTTTTTTAGCTATAGTTTTGAAAGAAGGATGTTTTACACGTGAATGTAGTAAGCGTTTTGAGTAGCTTTTCATGTTAAGTTGGCTTGTCTAAATAAAAAAAACCCAACAGTATCAAAGATTTTTTTTTTAATTATTATTCTGTTCTTTGCATCCTGTGCCTGTTACTGTTCCAGCATCTTTTTTGAGCTATGTGTGTTTGTAAGTTGTTCTTATCAATGTCATGGGGCATGTATACCTACTTTCGGACTTCTTGCATTTTTTTCTAAGTCTGTATTTTTTGCCATTCTTCTGATTGAAGTTGATATCAAAGAATTCGGTAGCTTGGAGTAGGTTACGTTTCAATTATGGCTATGATACCAAAATATTTAGATTATGGTATGAAGCTCGTGTATTCTTTCTCATTTAAATGGTTTCACTGCTGTGTTTGACTGGGACAGTTTTTCTTTTGAATTTTTCTGTATATGGAAAAGCAGCAGTTGCTTCTCAGGCTTTACTTGTGAAGTCTTTTGTAATTCACTGGAAAATACTGGCTTCCTTTCTGTTCGATCAGACTGGTTTCTCTCCCAGCCCCACCCCAAACTTGCTGTAGTTGGATGAAATCATGCGTTCTAGCATGCTTTGTTACAAAATCACTGTGTCACTTCCAAGAAACTCAATAAATCTCAGTGAAATGAAGGTCATCTTTTAGTATCACACTTCTCTTGTGATTTGGAAACGGAGGCTGTTGGACAAATGCTTTTAAATTGTGAATGCCTAATGTAGGGATAAACATTTAAGAATGACATTCTAAAAAGATGGAAAAGTAAATAACTGAAGGAGTTTCTAAAAGGGCAATCTGTCTTTTCTTTTGAAGCATTTGTGTGATTCCTTTCCTTTCTGGTCTTGAGGGTGTTCTTGCAGAGTTCGTAACTGGAGGGTGCTACTTAAAGTCATCCTTTGCTTTTTGCATCCGTGTGCATGTGTCAGCACTTCCAGAAAAGAAGGATGTTACTAACTTGTGACAGTTATTAAAATTTTGAAGTAATTTGTCTTCTAGATTAGAAGAATAAAAATCATGATCGTTCAGTGTGTAGTCTTTGCGCTGTTAATTGTATAAATATTGGCTTAGTTTCGGAACTGAAGTGTGGAAATTGAATGAAATGGTGCTTGTAAGAGTACTTCATAGAAACGAAGCTTTTCTAGAATGTTACTTTCGACTCATCAGAGTTTCCTATACAAGTCTCCCGGGGCTGTTTGTAAAAGCATTTTGTCCATTACCTGTGCAGCACTTCTCATGGGCAGGCCTTCCTGCCTGCTACTTCTTTATTTTGCCATAATGTAAAAAAAAAACAACAAAACCCAAACAAACAAAAAAACAAACCCCAAAACAACAACAACAACAAAAAACAATAAACAATAAACTGACATCTCAACAGCCTGTTAAAAAATTATTTTGCAGTGTCCTCAATTCTTACTTGACTATTTTCTTTCAAATTAATAGAGGTCATTTAATATGTTAAACGAGATGTGGGTGTGATTATGCATTGAAATCTTAAATCAAGACTTGGTCGATACTTGTGTCGACTTCAGTTTAATGTTTTCTATGGAACAGAGCGCTTCTGTGGAGACCTGCCCTTTTTTTGGGTAACAAAGTGAAATATAAATGCTCAAATTTTGCTGCTGAGTGTGAGCATGAAGAGCAAAGCTGCTCCTGAGAACACCTGCCCAGAGCCTGGGCTCTGTGAGGGGCAAGAGCTCGAGTCATTGCGAGACAGCTGAATGAGGGGTGAATTTACTGTCAGGCAGGTGTTGTGCTGTGCCTGGCTGCACCGATGCTTTTACCTCGTGGAGCTGTCTTGCTGGACCTATTAACTTATGTCCTGGTAGTTGTGTGCCCAGGTCCATAACTTTTATCAGCTGGTTAGCAGACAGCATTGTGCTGTCCGATTGCAGGCTCTAGGGTTGGGACAGCGCTTGGTGGTGGTGACCCGTTCGCTGGTCGGACATGTACAGTGTTAACTAGATCCATTTCTGTAGCAGGTATGAAGCAAAAGTGAACCAATGGCTGATTGGGTGAGGAGAGGGCTAGGAGTACTGCATTAACATTCTTTGCTAAGCAAGGTTTCTGGCTGAAATACCCTAAAAAGACAGGCATCAGGAATCTGTAATACCTCCTCTTACAGATAGCGTTCAAACGCTTTCTTGTCTTCACACCTCTATTCCACCTTCTCTTATTTTTCTCATGGTAGCTGTTAACTGGTTTGCCTGCGTTTCCCTAGAATTGTTCTTCGTAATGCTGCCAAAAGTGACTTAGCTCCTTTCAGCCCCATGTGAATATGACATTTCAGAAGTCTTGCTCCTCAAACCCAGCAACGAATCTACATTTACACCTGTATTCAAAATCCAGTCCTATTCAGAATATTTATTTTCTGTGCAGTGTCTAAACCGAATTGTTTAGGGTGAGAACTCTCTTTATTCTCTGTTCCATATAGCCCAGACCCACATGTGGATTTCCTGGGCTGGATAGTTGTCATATGAAGTGTACCCAGTGCCGTTCCTTACCAAGGGCTTTGTTCTGAGCGGCTGCTGGGAAGCTATGGTGGTGTGGCAAGCCAGCAAGGTAGTCCTGCGAGTGCGTCCCCGCAGGGAAGGTGTTAACCCTCCTCCTGTGGCTGCTATTGGAAATGAGCCACGTGTGGTTAGTGCAGCAATCCTCCCGGAGAAGAGATGAAAGCTTCTGTGTCTGTGAAGGCACACGGAGTGGTTTGCGCAAGAGGGTGCAGCTGGGAAGCTCGGGAGGAAAATCAGGGAGTCATGGGGAACGCTAATTTAAATGCCTTCTCTTCTTCCTCGTCTTGATTCTTATCTGGAAAAGGAGTACTGTTGTGCCTGCTAGAGGGGGAACTGTAATATGGAGCCAAAAAAGTTGCCTGGGAGCCTAACTGCCATTGAAGGCAGAGGGCATTGCATCAGCTTTTAAGCCAAGGAAGCTGCTGCTCCCACCTGAGACTTGTGAAATTAATGCATCTGCTGGGAAGGACTATTCCAAACAGTGTGAGGGCCCAGTGTTAATTGTTGATTCCAGACTCCCACAAAGTTTCATGATTTACTGATCTGAACTAACTACTGAACTACTCTTTTGTGTTTATTATTATATAGTCATGCTAGAACTCCCAGGAGCTTGTTTTTCCCTTTTGCTTGGGCCCCTAAGAAATATCCAAGCGGTGATATGGCAGGTTTTCTGATTTTATTGTATTTTCCATAAATGAAAAGGTACAAATACAAGTCTGGGCTTCAGTTTTAGATGAGATTATCTTAGTTGAAGTGAACTGTTCCCATTTTTTTTTTTTGGCCAGCTTATTAGGTGATCTGAAATTGCAGAGCATTCATTTACTTCCAGTCTTTTAGCTGAAGTTACTAAATGTAGTTTTGTCTTTTTCTTGTAGTAATGAATGTTATAACAATTGAAGACTATAAGAGCACATATTGGCCAAAGTTGGACAGTGCCATAGATCAGCTTTTAACTCAGAGTCCTGGTGACTACATCCCTATCTCCTATGAACAAATATACAGGTAAGGAAATCTTCTAAGTGCTACATTACTTTTTTTTTTCTTTTTTCATTTAAAGATAAATGTTCATTTTATCTTGCAGCCTGTGCATATGCCATATTTTGTATTTATGAGGAGTAAAGTGGGAGGGTTATGTTAAGTACAATATTGTTTCAGTGGTTGAAATGAGTGAGTAATAGATATGTATCTTGACAGCCCATGTTGACAGGAATAAATGCTAAAGAATTAAAATGTGTAAGTGCAGAGAACATTAACATTACAGTAAGCTCCACCACAGCTGCTTAGTGTAATGTATTAAATGTGTTAAAGTCTCAACATCCCTATCCTCAAAGGGGAAGAAGAGACTGGCATGGTAGGCGTTTGACTTGATGTTTCAAAAGGCTGCTTTGTCACATCTAGTAGGAGGAACTGGTTTGGTGTGGTAGAGGTGCAGAATAAATAGAAGCAACTGGTGCCAAGGTGCATCAATAGAAGCCGGTATTTGTGTGTGTTGTGTCAGGTAGATTTGGTCTGATTTCCCTCTTGCCCAGCCATCCCGCTGCATGTGCCGTAGAGGCCGGCTGAAGGACTGACACAAGGTTCAGTCCTTTGTTTGATCTGTACCTGGCCTGGAGCTGCAGTTCAGTTTGCTCTGAAAGGGATGTAGTCACACAGCAGAACGGCCCTGCGGACTAAGCTGCTGCACGGTAGTGGGGATGGTAGGGGATTTGCTTCAAAACCACAGTACTGCTCGAAACCAGAATGCTAAATGCTTTGGAGACCTGGCAGTTTCTTAAGAGGTTGACTAAAATGGAGATTTCTGTTTTGCAGGTGACAGGTATCCAGGCAGTGGGTAAATAGGATGGAAACTTGGTAGCTGCTGCTGCATTTACTGGCCAAGATTCCATTAATACTAGCCCTTACCAGCAGCACGGATGGTGGCACTGCTGTCTTGGTTTTCTTTACCATAGTGTTGCGCTCTGTGAGATGACACTGGCAGCTCAGTCAGCAATTGCCATTTTCAGAGGCTTTAAGCTCTGTTGTCTCCTGCCCATTTGCTCTTAGCCACTTTGTCTTTCCAGTTTGAAACTTTGGATTAGGGAAACCGGATCCAAGAATGGCAGGTGTCTAGTCTTCCCTCTTAAATGCGGTTAAAAACTTTAATGAATTTCCTCTTTCCTCTCCAAACTTTTGGAACTGCTGTTATCAGGACTTGGGCATCAGCATGTGTATCAGTAACTGAGCTGGTGAATTTGAATTAAGAGACATTTTGCAGCTTTGATGTAAGTAATCAAAATCCTTTTCCAAGTTTGAAATCACCGATGTCCAAACAGCCGTCAGTAGGAGTTAAGCCAACATCTCCCCATAGTTATCCCTGATAAAGAGTAGGTGTGCAAAATTAATGCTTGAATACCTAGAGTAAATCTGGACCTAGTTATGGTTTTCAGATAACTGCTGTTTATCTTTGCTATCTTTTTACTGCTCAGAAGCTTTATTTATTAAAGGAATAGTGGATTTTAAGTTTCTTGTAGATAACCCTTAGATGTCAGGGTGACACTTGATGCAGTGCTGTAATGATGCACAGATATCTATTGCATGAATTTTACCAAAAGAAAAGATTGTCTGTATTTTAAGTGTGTCAGTTTTTTAAGTTTTCTTTTAAAAATTATGTCTGCAGATGTAATTACTCTGACACAGCCTCTTCCAACCAGTTTTTTTTTAATTTTATTTTAGAGGATGTCCCTTTTCTTGATGAATGGTCTAGACAACATAGACTGAGGATGGAATAAAAACTGCTTTTTTTGTTGAATTTAATGATGGTGCTTGCTTGGAGTGTTACAGAAAGTCTGTAGCAGACTTAAGGTTTAGATCCTCTCTGCTTCCCTAGGCTAATTCTTTAGTTTGAAAATGGGTTGGTTTTTTTTTTAAGTGGTTCAAACAGCTATATATATATTTTTTTTTTCAGTGAAACTGAGCTGAAAATGCAGTGGTCTTTTTGGTTGTCTTTGTGCTGACTAAAGGAATCAAGGTTTCCATAATGCAAACTCAAAATACATTATTAGATACACAAACAACTATTTTTGCCATGATCACTGATAACTGTAAGTGTCTACTCCACAGTAGTGAAGGCTAGGAGATAACTTCAAAGGTGTGCATGCAGGTGTTTACTATGGATCAGTTCACCCATAAGGTACCAAAGTGTGATTAGTGACTTTTTCCATCTTTGAGTCCAAAGCCTGCCTGTGCATAGTCACTTCTGATTAAAAGGGTTAAATGGATTGACAGGGAGAAGTGAAGCAGGCATTCAGATGAGGAAAATGTGGAGAGCCAGGTTGTACTTCTGGCAGCTATTACAGCTGCCTCCCCAGTACAAGGCAATTAGATTGCTGTTCTTCAAGACAACGTGCAGATCTGAGACCTTCATCCCTTTCAAACTCTTAGCTTCTAATGTCCTGCTTGGGTCTTCCTTTCCCTCAGGTGTTTGGTTATGCTAAAGGATAACAAGCTGCTGGCTTCTTTTGGGTAATAGCAGGGCAAGGATGATTCACAGAGTCGGCCCACAATCAGGAACTGAAAACAGGATCTGAAAATGCGGAAGGAACCTCTAAATATAAGCGTTGGGATAAAATGTAATACTCTCTACACATGCATAGGAGGACTGGTGTTTGACTACAGAACGTGTTGCAGAAGTAGCTATAGCAATATTGTATGTGACACTGGGCAGAGGTACTTCAAAATTCAGTTTGGGTACATTGTTGCGAGTGAAGAGGTCAGCTTGTGGAAGTGGCTTTATACTGGTTCGTTATGGAGCAATTAAACATAGGGGCATGTGCTGTTGTTACCTAGCTGGCTGGTTTGTAAGAGATCACGAAAACCAGTCTGGCTTTTCTTATCAGTGTTTCTGTCTTTGACCCAAGTTCGGTTGATATTTTTGCTGTTGTTGCATCGTACCAAAATGTCTTTTGCGCTTGCTTGTTCCAAAATAGGATCTGCTATTGGTAGACTTCATGTGAAAGAAACAGGATGACTTTGACTGTTATCTAAATAATAGCAAATGACAGATACTCAATTATTTAAAAAAATACAGTAGCAGGAGAGGTGTGGGGTGTCTTTTGGTTTTTCAGAAATAGCGTGGGTTGGCAAATGAACAGACTGCGTAGGGCTGAACACTATTTTTGGGGCTTTTGAAGTTGTCAAGCGGAATAAACATAAACTTCTAGAAGCTATTGATAACTTCATTTGTAAAACCTTCATCCAGAAGACTTTGAGAGCGCGGTTATTGAATGAGAGCGCTGCCTTGGTCCCTGAAGGCTTGGAATTGGTGCCTAACCTCTCACTTGGGTTACAAAATGCCAATAGTCCATAGCCTACGGTTGTTTTAACCCCATCTTTGCCTTTTGTTTGTTGCTGTACCACCTTCGCAGTAGAGAATCGGAATGCCATCATTCCCCTGCAGAGACAGTGTTGCTGTACCATAGCTTTGGGCTTTTGGTGCTGGTTAAAACCTGCAGAATTCAAGTCTGGGATCTGGACCTTGCTGAAAATAGTTCATTTGCGCATGTCCTAAGGAGCAGTCTCTGGCCTAAATTGCTCGCTGTTACAGTACCCTGCACAGAGGGAGGGAGGGAGAGGGGAGCAGAACGGAGGCATGGGGAGGAGATTTGGCTCGCCCAGGATATCGGGTGAAGTCTTCCTTGTGCCTCTTCATTTTTGGTAGCTAGCTTTCAAAATGCTGACTTCAAAGAATGAAAGCACTCGAGAGAAGTAAAAGCTGCTTGGTACAGATAATGCTGGTGTTAGTCCTGACAACGATGACTACCTTAGTGTAACTTCTTGCTGAAAGTAATTTATGTATTTGTTTTACAGCTGTTGTAAATGTATTTTCAACACGTAGCCTTATTTTGCAGATATGTTATATTGCGGTATGAGAGCAATAAAATGTTCTTAAAAAAACAAAGGTAACACTGAAGACCAGACTTAACACAGCCAAGGCAAGGAATGTAGAGTTAAAGTTTTGTTGCTCTTTTTCTGCGTCTTTGTTTGCTGTGAAGAGGTAGGGTTTTCTTATAATTTAAGTAACAAAGGATGGAGTAACGTGCTTGGATCTGTAACTTTAGAACTTTTGCCATTTCTTCTTAAAACGCTAGCATGGTTTTGGTGCAACTTCTGTGACTGCTTGTCAGTATGGCCCTTCTTTTAAAAAGGGTTTTGCCCTAGAATATGCATATAATCCTAAACCTGCTTATTTTAATGGAGTCTTCATTGATGTAGGAGGGGAAGGCCATAATGAGGAGTGTGCTGTTGACAGAATTATCCTAGCTGTTCTGAAGTGCACTGTTAAGAAAACTCATTGTAAGTGAGGTTGGGGATGGGAATGGGACGGACATGCGGGGACCTCCAGGGGAGACTTAGGAGTCTTCTGGAGCTCATTCCAAGCTTAGGGCTTATTTAAAAGTTTAGCAGTCATTCAGTTAACCCTGTTATCCTCTAAAATGAGACTTGAACAAAGTATTTTGAAGTCTGTTACCCTTCACTGCAAACTGTTGTAAGTTCATTGTTTGTTCCTATATTTGTTTCTGCAGTTGTGTGTATAAATGTGTATGCCAGCAGCATTCGGAACAGATGTATAGTGACCTAATAAAAAAGATAACTAACCACTTAGAGAGAGTCTCAAAGGAGCTGCAGGTAAGAAGCTGCGCAATCTAATTTTGTCTTTCCTGGGATCTGTGATTATATCAGAGCAGCATGTAGATGGCCCATGGAGGGGATGGTCCTTAAGACTGGTTTACAGTAGCTTATGAAATTGTGGACTACTTCATTCGCTAACTGACTGTCAGACAGAATACCAGCGACTAGATCCAGTTGCATGGCACTGATTAAACTTAGAGATCTGAACCACATGGAGAGCAGTGGCTAAACTTGAATGTGTGATGCAGAATCAAAGATTAGAGAACAGGGTATCTACAATATAAGGAATCTATATGTATATAAATCTACATATACAAGATGTAAATGCATCAGTCAAACATAATCTGAGCACACGACATGGATGTCTGTCATTGCTGTGTTGATGTAAACAGTTCATGGTCCTCGTGCATCACAAGCAGCACAAAAGGGAAAATCTGAAGGAAAAAGTTCAAGTGAATTAAATATGAATTGTGAAGTATAAATTAGGAATTATTGCATGTGAAAGTTTTGTGCTACTGTTTATTCTGCATTTTTCTTGCCTATCTCTAGATGTCAGTGGTTTACAGCAGTCCTAATACAGTTTGTATATCCTTATTCTTCTTTGCATCTTAATTGTGCATCCATGTTTGTTTTCATGTATGTTCCTTGCTGAAAATTCCTTTTAGGCTAGAATCTCCAGGCACGTTCTTGAAATTGTCATTGCTGTAGCTGCTTTACTTCCCTGCAGCTTTTGTCGCTTCCGTAGATGATGTTTGTGTTCCACACTGACTTGCAGTGCATCAAGCAGAGATGCCAAATACAAAGGAACCCTAAACCACAGCATCTCCTTCAGTGCTTCTAACAACTGATAACTGATTTATGTCAGTCAGAAGCAGTCTTACTACTTTTAACTGTATCGAGTAGTTCTGGCTAAGTGTGCGTTCCCATCAGAAATATATAGCACTGTGATTGCTCCGATGTCTTTCTCATTTCACTCTCTTCCAATTGGTGCTTTCCTTATAAAGAAAAATAACCACCCTGCATTTAATGGGCTCGTCTTTCACTATAAAATACCTGGGTTGTCTTGAGCTATGTTCTTTGCTTCTTTTCTCTTACAATTTCTTTATTCCTCATGGAATGAGAGCCTCACTCTTCTGTTAAAATTGCTTAGAGTAGATGGATGTAACGTTTAAAATAGAGCCTTCCCTTGTTTCTGCTGAGCTGGTGCAGCCTGTACATTTTTCTTCTGCTTGTGAGAACTACGAATTGTTGCAGCTGTACAGGTTTGGTCAGTTCTGCTGATACGTCCCGTGGTAGTGTACTGCATTACTTTGCTTTAAGTTGGGGAATATCTCAAATCCTTTACTTGGTGGTAGTCCTTGATTGATTCCTCTAAACTTTCAAAACTGAGACCGCTGCTTTTGAAGTTTGCTTTAGCACATATGTGTATTAAATGCTTCTGCCTGAAACCAAGGCTGCCTCCTGAGCATCAGCTGTTGAAACAGTAATTGAGACAACTATTTAATGCAATCTTTGTCTTGCAAAAGTTTCCTTACGTAGGTTAGACACACCTTGTGGCAGGTGGCAAGAGGACTAATACAACGTGATACCATCTTTGAGTGTATTACGTGAATTTTGTCCGACACGAACATGACTTTGGTTTTGGATGGTAAATCCATCTTTTTAAGCTGCTTGAAGTAAAGCTGATGTGCCTCAGGAAATTGTCCTCTACAGAAACTGTTTTAACTGTGGGTTGTGAAAATTACTTGTAAGAAATTACTTTACTACAATATATTTTGTTATCCTGATGTTTTTTTGATCTTAATACATTTTGGTGACACTCAATCACTTGGGTTTTATGTTGAAAATGTGGTGCTAGATCTTTACTATAGCAACAACAGCAAATTACTTTGTAAATGTTGATCAGTTGGAGGTTTCTGGGTCACATAGCAAACAATAAAAAATGCCTATATATGGGAATCCTTTTAATGCACAATATTTGGTGTTTTGCTTTTTCTGACAAACTCATTCCACCTGCCAACAATATTTAATTTAACTGCAGACTTCTGTTTAATTGGCGAGGTGTGACTTGATGCAAGATAACTTTTTTTTTTTTTTCCATGGAGAGATGCAAATGTAGCCCTAT